TGTTTCAGGCCCTGGATGTGTCTGAGGGGTGTTTCAGGCTCTGGATGGTGTCTGAGGGGTGTTTCAGGCCCTGGATGTGTCTGAGGGGTGTTTCAGGCTCTGGATGTGTCTGAGGGGTGTTTCAGGCTCTGGATGTGTCTGAGGGGTGTTTCAGGCCCTGGATGTGTCTGAAGGCTATTTCAGGCCCTGGATGTGTCTGAGGGGTGTTTCAGGCTCTGGATGGTGTCTGAGGGGTGTTTCAGGCTCTGGATGTGTCTGAGGGCTGTTTCAGGCCCTGGATGTGTCTGAGGGGTGTTTCAGGCTCTGAGTGGTGTCTGAGGGGTGTTTCAGGCCCTGGATGGTGGCTCTCGGTGGCTGTAGGAGCATTTTAGGCCCTCAGTGATGGCCATCAGTGGTTGTGGAGGTGGTTGAAGCTCCAGATGGTGGCTGTCAGTGGCTGTAGGAGTGTTTGAGGCTCCAGATGGTGTCTTTCAAAGGATTTCTGATGAGGAAAATCCACAGCTGACGCTTGCATGATGCACAGCTCCAGTGTGGGGTGTGTGGCAGTGGCAGGACTGAATCTGGAGGGCAAAGCACCTGCAGTGCTGCTCCTGCCCAGGCTGTGGTCCATGAGGAGCTGGGACATGGATCCAGGAGCCAGCAGTGTGGGTGGGTGACCCCAGCTCATCCCTGGGCTCCATGGAGCAGGAGCTGCCTCCTGGGCCCTGGGCTCCTCTACCACACCCTCCAACATCTCAGAGCTCTTAATCATCCCTATAAAACCATTTCCTCTGCAAAACAAAGCATGCGTTTGGTGAAATGTCTCAGCAAAGGAAATAACTGGTTCTTTGATGAATTATCTTAAATATCAAGTTCATAATTGAGCATAGTGCAAGTGTCAAAGTAGTCATGAGTTGTAACTGCTCTCATAAAATTTATCTTTTTGGATTACTTACAGATGCATCTTGGAATTTTTCAATAATAGCTTGCAAAGGTCTTCTTTAAGCTTCCAGACAGCAATTATCCTGCAGGAATGAAGCAGCAGTAGCTTCTGCTAAAAAAATTATACAATCTGGTTTTGTTCAGGATATTTTACCATCTACAGTAGGAGTTTAGAAAACTAAATACGAGACATGAAGGTCTGTAAGTTTTGTACTATCTCTATATATATTTTTTCTATACACATCATTTCTGAAACTGCCTGGGAGGATATTTTGGCTTTGGAAATACAATCAAAAGGGAATAATTAGTGAGAGAGATGTTGGAGCATGGCAGTGCTGCAGGGCAGGGATTTGTCTCCACGTTAGTCACTGGTCCCAATTCTAGGAGTTTTATAACCCAGCCTGTTCCCACACGTGTCCGTGGGCCACAGCCCCTTCACCTCCCAGCAATGTTTCTTCCCTCTCATTTCCCACCCCTTGTCAGTGACTAATGCTGCAAAGTGAAAGAAGCTTTTCATTTCATGAGAAACTCTCTGGGTTTGGGGCTGTTTCCTCCAGAGTGTGTTAACAACAGGACAAACAGCGTGTGGGCATAAAAATACACTCATTTATTGGTGTTTTATTGTGTATTTATTGGTGTTTTATTGTCCGGCCCGTGCTGGGTGATGTGTGTGTCTGCAGATCCTGCCTGCCCTGTGCTGGGCAGAGCTCAGAGCACTGTGCTGGATGCTGCCACCCTAGCAGTGGCCCTGTCCCTTTGTGCTGTCCCCTCGTGCTCCCCTGGCCCCAGCCTGGGCATGGCAATGGTGCAAACACCTCTGAGAGAGGGGCTGAGGGCAGGGAGATCAAATCCAGCACTGGCAGCTGTGTGGAAGAGGATTCAGGAGCGCTTTTCCAAGGTGCTCCCAGCCCATCTCTGCCAGGACAGAGGTGCTGCAGCCCTGGGCTCGGTGCTGTGTGTGGTGTGGGAATAGCAGGAACCTCTGTAGAATTCTGCATCCTCTCCCAGGGGGAGCCTGGTCCATGAACTCACTCACCTGTGTGTGAGGCTCAATCTTCAAGTGCATCTTCTGCTTTAAGCCCTGCCTGCTATCAGAGCTGTTTTGAAGGAGTGGAATATCAGCATCCCTGGGCCAGGCCGGGCAGGAGAACTTTGCCAAGGCATGAGCCCAAGGGCTCCAGCAGGGCAGGGCTGACCCTTGGGCCACTGGAGGAGCCTCACTGCTGGAGCTCTATACAGCAGCCCTTTCCTCAGACTTGGAAACTTTCTCTTATCCAGAAAAATCTCCCTCTAAAAGACTTGAGGCAGAATAGGAGAAGTATTTTTGAAAAAGGAAGGGATATTGCAGACTTGGGGCTTGGCTAAAGCCCTGCTGGTGTGGAGCTGTGTTAGTGGATTAACAGACACAAGGGATAACAGGTTTGTCCTTGAAAGATGGGTGTAGGGTGGCAGTGACTCTGTGTTTTATGGCTGCCGTTGACCTTTGTGTGAAACTTCCCTCTTGCTGTGTGCACACTTTGCAGTTAATGGCAAAGGCATATTGTGTTTCCTTGTCTGCCCTTTTCCCTTGTTTTAAGAGCAGTCTCTGGTGATAACAGCCTCTGCTGTTTCATGGATCCAGACTGGAAGAGCAAAGGTGCAGGCAGAGGATGTCCCTGGAGCTGCTGTGCACCAGGAGTTGGAATGGTTTGGGTTGGAAGGACCCTAAGGCTCCTCTCATCCCACCCTGCCATGGGCAGGGACCCCTCCCCTGTCCCAGGGTGCTGCAAGGCTGACCCTTGGCTGTGTTTAGTGTTACCTTGGCTGTGTTTAGTGTTGTCTGTGTGTGATCTCAGGTTTGGGTGACTTTGGGTGACAGGCTGAGCCCAGTCCCTGCTGGGACCCCCCAACAGAGGCTCTGAGGTTGGAGGGAGAAGTCCCCTAGAGAAGGGTGGCTGTGGTGGGCACTGCTGCCAGGGCAGCCCGCGGGTGCTTTCCTTCCCTCTTTGCACTTATTCCATTTTCTTGATATAAACACTGTTCCTGGAGGAGAACTCTCTTGCTGACGGCAGCTGCTTTTGCTGCTGAATCATCCCCCACTTGCCAGATGTGGCTGATGGATTTTCTCTGCAAACAATCCTCTCTGCTCGGGCTGGTGTTACACAGCCAGGTGTCCTGGAGGGGCAGAGGGAAGGAGCTCCTTGGAGGGGCCAGAACCTGCCCAGAGCCCAGCTCTGAGCTGCTCCACTGGGTTTGTGCTTCCCTGAGCAGGTCCTGCGTGGTGGAGCTGGCCCAGGGTGTCCTGCAGTGCCCAGCTCAGGAATGGCCTGGGTCTGGGTCACCTCCAGGGAAGGGATCTGTTTGTGTGCCCTGCTGCTGCCATGCCTGGGCTGGTGCTCACAGGGGTCCCAGGACCAGGAGAGAGATGAGAATCTTGACTCCATCTTTCAGAAGGCTGATTTATTATTTTATGATATATATTATATTAAAAGAAAGTGATATATTAGAACTGTACTAAAAGAATAGAAGAAAGAATTTAATCAGAATGCTAGCAAAGGAAAGGAAGGAATGATAATAAAAGAATAGAAAGGAATGATAATAAAAGAATAGAAAATAATGATAATAAAATCTTGTGACTGACCAGAGAGTCCGAGACATCCGGACTGTGATTGGGCATTAATTAAAAACAACCCCATGAGACCAATCACAGATGCACCTGTTGCATTCCACAGCAGCAGATAATCAATGTTTACATTTTGTTCCTGAGGCCTCTCAGCTTCTCAGGAGAAGAATCCTAGCAAAAAGATCTTTCATGAAACATGTCTGTCACACATGCCCTGTGGCACACAGCCTTGCTGGGTGGGTTTGGTGCTGGGGTGAGCAGCAGGGTGTGCCAGCTGTGCCAGCAGTGCCCAGGCCTGGCTCTGACCCTCTGAGAGGCTCCCAGCAGCTCCCCAGGCCCATCCTGCAGCTGCAGCTCCTGGGGGACATCCCCAGCAGGGACCCTGGGGAAGCACAGAGCTGCTGCTGGTGCCAGGGCTGGGATGCTGGAGCACAGCCCTGCCCTGTTGCTGCTGGTGTTGCTATCAACACGGCCTTTGGAGGCTTGCCCTGCTGGCTATTTTGGGAGGCAGCATGTGATGCAGGCAGCTCCCCTTGCAGGGGCTCCCAGCCCTGCTCCCCACAGCCTCAGCAGCCTGTGTGCTGTTCTGTGCCCCCTCAGCCACATCCAGGTGCTGCTGGGGCTCTGGGCTGGGTGGCAGTGCTCCTGGTGAGCACGGAAGGATTATCCTAAACCATTTTACTCCGTTGAGCTGGGGAAATAGAGCCTGTCTGAGGGCTGATCTTCTTACAGCTGCTGTTGGTATTATCCTGGGCTTTTAAAGTGCCCTCACATGGTGATTAAACCTTGTGCCAGTGTTTTCCCTTTTTACTGTGTCCACTGAGGTGTCCCTTTGCTCTCCAGCAGCCAGGCTATGGTGGTGTGGTGATGGGAGGAGGAGTGTGGATGTTGGGAGGCTGGAGAGGTTTGGGATGGGATGGAGCCCTGGTGATGGCTGTGCTGGGAGCAGGGCTGGGTGCCCTCAGTGCCTCACCCTGCTGCACTCCTTGTGCCCTCTAAATCAAGGACGTTTCTTTTCCTCTCCCTCCCTTTGCTCGGGCTGTACCTGAGGAGGGGATGCCTGCTCCCTGCCCCAGCTGCACCTGCCAGGGGTTCCTGCAATGCCCATAGGGGAATTGCCTCCTTTGCTCTGAGTTTATATCCTCTGTGTGCGTCCTTCAGGAGAGGAGTCAGAACCATGGAGCAGTTTGGGTTGGGAGGGACCTTTAAAGTCATCCAGTCCAACTCCACCTCCATTTTGTTTAGAAGCCTCTAATTTCTGTTTTTACCTGGTCCATCCCATTTGCATTCTTTATTTTAAGAGCTGTCCTAGGCAGTATTTTACATAACTCCACAGCTGGGCCAGCCCAGCATTTGTGTGCAGAGGTCGTGGTGGTGTTTGGGGACCTGGCTGCTGGGGGAGGTCTGGCAGCAGCCACGCTGTGGTGGCACCAGCTGTGCCAGGGTCTTCACAAGGCTTTCTGCTTGTGTTTTCCAGGTGTACAACTCCAACAAGGACAGCCAGAGCGAAGGCAGTGAGTATTTCTGCTCCAGCCTGACCCTGAAGGTGGCTGAGCAGTGGGAGGGTCAGCAGGGGATGCTGGTGGCACTGGGCGGGGCTGGTGGCACTGGGCTGGGGGGTGGCAGGGCTCAGTGTGGGCACCCCAGGGTGGCACCCAGCAGGGACCAGGGGCAGAAAGCTGCTGGTGGGGCCTGGGGCTGTGCAGAGCAGGGCCAGGCAGTGCCTGCATCCCTCCGGGTGTGTCCCCTCCTGCCCCACACCGTGTCCCCACCCCAGTGGCACTGCAGGGTGGCCTGGGGACTTCTCCTGAAGGTGACACCTGGGACCAGGCAGCTCTTCTCTCTGAGCAGAATGTGCAGGGTGAGAATTGGAGCAGAAATACAGGAGTAAGGAAGTCCTGCCTTGTCAAGATTGTCAACAAGAGCCCTTAAAAATAAAAATCTTTTTATTGTGGTTCAGGCAATCAAAGCCCTGGGTCAGGAAAGCACTTGTTTTCTTCCTAGAGGAGCAGTTGCACCTGGTCCTGCCTGTTATGTCCTGTGTTTTAAAACCCTTAATTGAGCCATTTCCCAGTAGGTTGGATTTGCCATAATTGCAATTCTGCAGCCCCAGTCCCTTCCCTCAGAGCCAGGGCCAGGCCTGGGTTTGCTGTTCAGTGCTTGGTGCTGCCTCAGACACGACATTTCCATCTGCAGCCCCAGCATTTCTCCCTCAGTAATTGGCATAATTTGCAGCTGATGTTCCTCACACCCATTCCAGCCCTTGCACAGAGCAGTCTCTGCCCCCTCCGTGGTTCCCCTTCCCTCTGACCCCCTCTGCCATCAGCTGCACATCCATCCTTTCCTGCCCGTTCCCCTGCTCTGTGCCTCCGGGTGACCCAGCAGAGCTCAGGGCTGGGCTGGAAGGGCAGGGTGGTCCCTCGGGTGGGAGCCCTGCTGGAACAGCTCCCCTGTCCCTTCTTCCTGGGGGCAGGAGGAGTTTGTGGGGTGCAGAGCCCAGGGTGCCTCAGCTCCGTGAGCTGTCAGTGCTCTGTGCCCCTGCACACAGCTCTGCCAGCTCTGTGCCTGCTGGTTTAGCTCAGGAGACCATTTGGGCTTTCTGAAAAATGAGAATGATCCTTCCTGTGTGTCCTTGTGTGTCCTCCCTGGGACCCCTGAAGGTGCTCCCAACCCCTCTGCTGGTGTGAGCAGAGGGCTGGCTGCTCCAGCCCCACTAAAACCCTGTTCAGAGCTCTGCCTGCCTCCCAGGCACTCTGAAATCCATTCAGCGCCTGCCTGGCTGCCAGCAGCCCTTGAGGCAGGGTTTTCCTGCAGGGACCTGCAGTGAGTGTGGGGATGGAGGGCTCTGGATGCAGTTCCTGATGCACTCTCCACACCTCTGCCTCCTGCCTGTGCCTCTGGAGCCCGGCAGTGCCTCCCCGTGCTGTGGAGGCACTCTCAGGGCGCTGTGGTTTTGCAGAGATTCTGGGTTTGCTGTCCTGCTGTGTGGCCAGATGGCCGTGGGCCTGTGCCTGATTTATCTGGTGTGCTGTGGAGGGGCTGAGGGCTGTCACTGAACCATCAGAGCCAGGGGAATTGAGATGCTCTACTTTGCTAAGCAGAAGGACTTGCCCTGCTCCATGGAAACAAATCCTCCAGGCCGTTTGTGCTCACTGCATGGAACAGCACAAAATTCCTCCTCTCCCTGCCTTCCCACCATTTCACTCTCCATCCTCCACATCCACTCCTGAGTCCCTTTGGCTGCCCTGTCTGCTGTGCCCTTGTCTGGGTGCTCTGGCCCTTCCCAGCAATCACAGTCATGGAATCACAGAGTATTTTGGGTTGGAAGGGCTTTAAAGCTCCTCTCTTCCCCTCCCTGCTATGGCAGGGACACCTCCCACCGTCCCAGGGGCTCCCAGCCCTGTCCAGCCTGGTCTTGGGCACTGCCAGGGATGCAGGGGCAGCCCCAGCTGTGCCAGGGCCTGCCACCCTCATTGTAAAAAACTTCTTCCGTTTCTCTAACCTAATCCGACCCTCACTCTTCCTTTCCCAATCTTGGCAGCTCACTGGTAGTTAAAGCCCTGAGAACTCATTTCTGGTGAGACCTGAAAGCTCATTCCTCTGCTCTCTGCTTCATGATTTCCTCCCTCCCCTGTGGTTCTTATTTCCAAAATGTCTCTGAAAGAATTTAAGCCTGAGGTGGTTGCATGGCCCAGTGTGGTGGGGAGGCAGAGGAGCTGCTCTGACCTTGCCCTGCCCTGGCACAGCTGGAGCCAGGCTGACAGAGCTGATTCAGCCCCTGCCCCCTTCCCTTCACCCTGAGGTGTCACACCAGTGTAAAGGGAGGGAATTAATGGATTAAATAGAAATAATCTGGCAGGCAAAAATAGAACGGGATGAGAGCAGTTGAGTAGCCCTTGGAGTGTGATGCTGCTGAAGGTCAGGTGAGCTGGGGGTGTGTGGGAGCAGCTGCTGTGCAGGTGTGCGTGTCCCCTGTGCTGATGTGCGGTGTTCCTGGATGGGTCCAACCTGGGCAGGGCACTGGATGCTGCTGGGGGAAGAGCCTGAGACACGTGTGGGGGCCTGGAGCTGAGCCTCACACCTGCCCTGGGCAGGGACAGCTCCAGGGAGGCTCCTCCACCTGGTCTCTGCCAGGCAGGGATGGTTCAGATTGCAGGGCAGGGAGGATTTCTTCTCTGGAGGGCCTGTCCGGCCTTGGCACATCTGCCCAGGGCAGGGGGTGCCCATTCCTGAGGGGTTCCACAGCCATGTGGCTCCTGGGGACAGAAGTTATGCTGGGGGAATGGTTGGGCTTGATCACCTTGGGGGCTTTTCAAACCCCGATGGTTCCATGGATCTGTGATCCCAGATGGAATCCCACATGATGCCATGGATCTGTGATCCCAGATTATGCCATGGATCTGTGATCCCAGATGGAATCCCAGATGGTTCCATGGATCTGTGATCCCAGATGGAATCCCACATGATGCCATGGATCTGTGATCCGAGATGGAATCCCAGATGGTTCCATGGATCTGTGATCCCAGATGGAATCCCAGATGATGCCATGGATCTGTGATCCCAGATTATGCCATGGATCTGTGATCCCAGATGGAATCCCAGATGGTTCCATGGATCTGTGATCCCAGATGGAATCCCAGATGATGCCATGGATCTGTGATCCCAGATTATGCCATGGATCTGTGATCCCAGATGGAATCCCAGATGGTTCCATGGATCTGTGATCCCAGATGGAATCCCAGATGATGCCATGGATCTGTGATCCCAGATTATGCCATGGATCTGTGATCCCAGATGGAATCCCAGATGGTTCCATGGATCTGTGATCCCAGATGGAATCCCAGATGATGCCATGGATCTGTGATCCCAGATTATGCCATGGATCTGTGATCCCAGATGGAATCCCAGATGGTTCCATGGATCTGTGATCCCAGATGGAATCCCACATGATGCCATGGATCTGTGATCCCAGATTATGCCATGGATCTGTGATCCCAGATGGAATCCCAGATGGTTCCATGGATCTGTGATCCCAGATGATTCCCTGGATCTGTGATCTGGACAGCAGCAGGCCCAGATCTGCCTTTGGTCTGGGCCATTGCTGAACTGAGTCATGTGGTAAATGGCTGGGATAAAGAGCAGATGCTCTGAGAGAGGGGAAGCCAAGCTTTTACAATGCTCATCAGAAGTTCAGTTTAAGGATGAATAAAGGCACTTTGGAAATTTAATCAGATATTATTTCTGGATATAACTACTGCAGAGAAATCCCCAGCCTTTCCTGATGCAGAGTTGACAGTGAGTGGAGGAGCCTGTTCCTCTGCTCAGGGGGATTGTGCCAGGTCACTTCACCCAGAGCCACTGCTGGGTCTCCTGCTCCTGCTGCAGGGAGGGATGCCAGCCCTGCCTGGCCCTGGGGTGCTGGGCCCTGCAGGGTGATGGAGTCACGAATGGGTTGGGCTGGAAAGGACCTTAAAGCTGATCCAGTTCCTGCTATGGGCAGGGACACCTCGCGCTGTCCCAGGCTGCTCCAAGCCCTGTCCAGCCTGGCCTTGGGGGCCCAAACAGGCAAGGGGCTAAGGGAGAGCTGCTGCTCTGTGGGGTGGGCTGGCACAGAGCCTGAGGCAGTGATCCAGACTGCCAGCACCACACAGGGATGCCCACAGGTCAGGGTCACGCCGTGCCAGGGCTGAGCAGACCTGCTGAGCTGGGTTTGCTGCAGCAGGACAGTTCCACAGCATGGCTTTGAGCTGCTCAGGTACCCTCGTGTTTGTCAGTGCTTTGGGAGTGGCAGCTGTGCCCTGCTGATGGATGGCACGCTGGGTTCGTGCTGCATCCATGCTGGGAGCCCTGAGGGTGCGCAGCAAAGGGCCCTGCAGGCTCTGCATTGTCCTCACGTGCTGTGGCACAGCCGTCTGCACTCTGTGCTTGTGTTGGCTCAGCACTGCAGCCTGCTTGCCCAGACAAACAGAACGGAGCTGTTTTCCTTTGCGCTGCTGTGGGTCCCCGTGCCACTCACCAGACAAAGCCCAGCCCCAGCACGGGGCTCAGAGCAAGGGATTAGGAGGGGCTGGAGCTGGCAGCTGCCCATGGGGCAGGGGAAAGGCAGGGAATGCCAGGGAGGGGAGCAGCACGTGCCTTGCAGAGGGCACTGCCAGCCTGGGCTCTGCTCCCTGCCTGCCCTGCACTGAACTGTGTCTGTCCCATCACGGCATCCCTGGGGTCTGGAATGGCTTTGCCCTCTCCCATCGCAGCATTCCTGGGGTCTGCAGCCCGGGGTGGCTTTGCCCATCCTTCCCTCCCCTATGGAAGATTTTCCAAGCCTTTCTCTAGGGAGGAACTAATTTTCCATAACAAATCGCTGGGCAGTGTTTGCCAGGCAGTGGTGGAGAGCTCTCTGTGGGGTGAATTCTTCCAGCAGGTGTTGGGGTCCCTGGATTAGTAATTCCTTGAACTTAGAAGTGAAATCCTGCATTGGCACAGGTGAATTGAGTTGTACATCCCATTAACTCTCATTTTTTAGCTCTCACTCTTGGGCAGAGGCAAGACACCTCATGTGCCATTTTCAGGGATTTGTTGTGTCCAGATGTCCAGTTTCATTTCTTTCCAAGCAACTCGTTGTCAACTTTCCAGACAAATTTGGGTTATCTCACCTTGATCCTAAATTAATTTTGTCCATCTGCAGTGGTAGCTGCCTGGCAGAGCCCAGGGCTTGGTTCAGAGGGATGTGGAGGCTGGAACGCAGATCAGTGGCTGTGCTTGCCCGGGTTACAGCTGGTACAATCTGCTGTACTTGCGTTACTGCCCTCATTTATCTCCTGCTGCTCTGGGCAGTGGTGCATTGCTGGGATGGTTCAGCAGGAGCCTGGTGCTCCCTGTGAGGGCCTGCCCTGCCCTGCCAGCTGCTCACCCTGCTCTCTGCCCTTCCCTGCAGCTGCCCAGCTGGACAGCATCGGCTTCAGCATCATCAAGAAGTGCATCCACGCTGTGGAAACCAGAGGTAGGGCAGCCTCGGGCTGGGCTTGCTCTGGGGCAGCTGCTGGCAGGGGAGCAGTTGCTTTCCTGCCCTTTCCATGGGCAGAATGACTCATGAGCCCTGGGACCCACATCAGATGAGCCCATGACGTGCTGGGGCTGATGAGAGAAGCGTTTGCCCCACGGCTGGGCCAGCAGGACTCACAGACATGGGGCAGGGTGAGCCAATAACACCCTGGGACAGGATCAAGGGGGTGTTCACCTCAGCATCCTTCCTGCAGGAATGCTGCCAAGCACGTCCTCTCATGTGGGATTGTGTCCCCAGAACCTCTGTGAGGCTCCTTGTGCCAGGTGGGGTTGTCCCAGCCCTGCAGGGGCAGGTCAGATGCAAAAGGCTCAGACCTCAACCTGAAGAACTTGACACAGTAAAATTTTCCCAGATTACCCTGGTTAAGTGCAGATCCTGCTTGGGGCTGCCATGGCTGTGGGAAGGAGGAAAAGTGTGCTCAGATCCTTGTTCCTGAGCTAACTGGGGTAATGAAAGGATACGTGAAAACCTTGATATCAACCCCAAATTTTACCATTTTCTGTGGCTTTGTGTTTGATAGGTGAGAGGGTTTCATGGGCTTTGCTGTTTGAGAAGGCAAAGGAGTGGAAGCAATCTCAGCAGCCCTTGTGACCCTGTGCTAACAGGTTCCTTGTTTCCCCAGGGATCAATGAGCAGGGGCTCTACCGGATCGTGGGGGTGAACTCCCGGGTGCAGAAGCTGCTGAGCATCCTGATGGGTGAGTGGATGGAATCTGTAAAGGCTGTGCTGCTCTGAGGCCTTGCCAAGCACGAGCAGGGGCTCCTCTCAGGGTCCCTAATGGTGGTGACTGTGCCCTTAGGACCATGTTGAAGCCAGGAGGTGCTGGGCACTGTGGGCAGGTGTGAAGGTAGGACAGGTCTTGTGTGGGACTGGCTTCACCAGGCCCTGCTGCAGTCACTGGTGTCCTGCTCACACCTGCTCTGAGCTCTGGCAGCCTTCCCAAATGCAAACCAAAATCTTCAAAGAAATAGCTGAAAGCTTTGGCTTTTCATCTCCTACCTGCCCCCTTGTTCCCAGCACTCTTTGAAATGATTTTCTCTGGATGTTGCATGCTGCCTTTCTTGCTTTCCCCACGGACTTTCTTGTGCCTGTTTATGTCAGCCTTGCCCAGAGTTTTCCAGCATGTTTCCCTCGTGACTGAGGCCTTGGATCCTGCAGTTCTGGATGCTCCAAGCTGCTGGCTCTTGGCACAGCAGAGCTTTGCTCTGGCTGTGGGGACAGAGCCATTTCAGCCCTGACCTCACAGCTGCAGCGTTTCCATCCCACAGCTGCAGCCCTGGACCAGTCTGTCCGTCTGTCCAGACATGCCTGAGGTGCAGCAGTGGAGGAGAGAGCAGAGCTGGGCTGGAGCAGGGCAGCTGCCCTTGGCCAGTCCTGGGTGGTGCTGCTCAGACTTGGCAAAAGCACAGATGGAATAGCTGCAGGAATAGGGAAACAAACGCTCACTAATTTGTTAGTGCCCTGTTGAATGTGTTTGTTACTCCTTGGGAAAATGTGTGGCATTTCTGGTCATCTTCTTTCCCTTCACTTATTATCTTTCCTTTTCTACATGATTTCCTTTTCCTTGTCCTCACAGAACTCCAGTGCCCCTTTCTCTGCATATTTCTTCTTGCAGAAGGTTTTCATCTGTTGTGTTTCAGCATCTTTTCCTTTTCCAATTCCTCCTTGTTTTGCCACCATTAAGGTGTTCAGTGAGCAGAGCCCTCGGTGGCTGTCACAGCTGTCAGTGTTAACCTGTGGAAAACAGAGAATGCAGGTGACTGGAGTGGGAGGGCACAGCTCCAAATCGGGGTGCAGGGCACCTCTTTGCTCCTGTGGCATTTGGAAAGTTCACATTTGCAGTCACGAGACGGGAGGCTGGTGCTGTTATTAGAGGAGTTTGGCACAGGCTGGGGGTGCGAAGGTGCCCTGCAGGGCTGTGGGGAGCCAGCAGTGCCCTGTGGCACCCAGGGTGGGCACGGGGACAGCACCAGGAGCACTGCTGACAGGAACAGCCTGGCTTGGTGCCCCGGGACAGGTCCTGGCAGGTCACAGGCAGGCCCTCAGTGATGCCCATCACCACATCCCACAGGTGGCAGGGCCACGGACCCCTTCTCCTGTCACAGAGGTGCCAGTGCTGGTGTCAGTCCCCAGGCTGTGACAGATGGCAGGACTGGCCTGGGTGAGGAGCTCTGCAGAGCTGGGAGCGATTCAGTTCTGGACAGCATCCAGCATCCATTATCTCCTCAGCCACCGAAGCCACTCAGCTGTCGCCCCTGTGTCTCATAAGGAGGTGATAAATGGCTGGTGCTTTTCCTTTGTCCTGGTGTGTCCTCCTTGGCTGCTGGGGCTGGAGGCAGTCAGGGCTGGCACTGGGACCCCTTTTGGGAATCCCCCGTGGTGTCCATCCTTGGGGTGCTTTGCAAACCCGTGACTCCATAGTTTCTCCAAATTGTGGGGGATTAAATCTCCATCACCCTCGGTGTTTGGGCTGTGTGTGGAGTCAGTGTCACAGGAAACGTGTCCCTTGTCAAACCCATCTGTTCTCGCTGCCCTCGGGCTCCCCGTGAATGGAGGAGCCAAGCTGTGCTCCCACTGTCAGGTTTCCCTTATATTTAGAAATGAATGTGGGCAGCCTCGCTGCTGCACATAGAGCTGAAATGGCAAAAAGATCGAGTTTCCCTGAGCTGCTGTCAGGCACTGCTGGGAAGGGCTTTGGCAGGGGCTCCTGCAGGAGGGCTCTGCTGGGCCAGGGGCAGCCCCAGCCCCTGGCTTGGCTTTCAGGGCAGATCTTGTTGGGGTCTGGACTGGGGTGATGCACTGGGGGTGCTCCCAGGGCTGGTGGGGGCAGATCCTCTCCCCAGGTACCGCGTGCCATCAAAATGAGGACAGATAATGGGACAAAACCCCACAAATAACCAAAGTCTCGCCAGTGGGAGCTCCCATGAGAGGGTTTATTGTGGCGCTGTGGGGCCCCAGCAGGGCTGAGCTCTGCACAGGGTGAGTTACAGCATCTGATCTGCTCTTGCTCCTTTGCCAGGTGGGCCATGAGTGGGAGTGGGGCTCCTTCCAGCCCCTCACCGCTGGGAGTTAGGAAATCTCTCCCTGATAATCCCACTGGGGTGATGAGCTGCTGCCCCTCACCCTGGAGAAATCTGTGGGAGACACCAGAGCAGGGGTTGGCAGCAGGGTTAAAGCAGCTGCAGGGTTAATGCTGCCCGTGGCCGTGGGTGCTTTTCCAGCCCCGGTTCCACGTGGCCCCGTTCCTGTGGAAGTGTGTCCTTGTGGGAGGCAGGGCTGGCACAGCCCCTGCCTGGGGACAGATGCTGCAGCTGCTGCAGCTCCTTGCAGCCTCATAAATGTGAAGGTCAAGGGGAGCTGATTAACTGCTCTGAGCCCTTTCATGGGACCGACTGTGGAATTTCACCTCATGTTCAGTGATCCTGCCTAGAAACTGCTGCCTGAGCCTTTGCAAAGACACGCTGTTTGCTCTGCTTTGGGTAAAAAGTTTCTTGTAAAAAAAAGATGGAACTTCTGGGGGGTTTTGTTCGTTTTTATTTTTTTTTACTATGCCGAACTTATCTTGACTCCTTATCTTAAAATTCTCTTCTTGCAAAGGCAGTGCTGTAGGAAGTTTCCTGGGCACTGAGTCAGGAGGATGGAGGTCATTTGTGTGATTGCTGAGACACACATGATCTTTGTGTGAATATGCATTTCTTATGTATTTACCTTTCCAAGCTGCCTCTTGATGTTTTTTTTTAAATTAAAATAAACCCTTTGCCCTGAGGGAAAGCTGATCTCTATTCACAGCATTCTTTTAAGTAGGTTAAAAATTGCCCAGTGCTTACACGGGGCTTTAAAACTCAAAGGTGCATTATTTGTGTGTGTGAAGAGGCAAAAGGGCCCTGAGCTGGGCCAGTGGGAGCAGATGGTGTTGGCAGCTGGGGCTGTGTCACCCTGGGCCTTGGGGACAGTGGCAGCTCTGGCACCCAGGCTCCACAGGGACACCTGGCACAGGGGCACCCACACCAGGGACCCCACAGAGGTGCTCTGCTGGGAGCAGGATCTGGCTGAGTTTCCAGATGGAGTCAGCAAAGACCATTGGTGGAGCAGCATCCAGGCAGGAGAGATCAGCACATGGGGCACTTCCAGGCTGGGCTTTCCATGGCCTTGACTAGGTGCTTCTGGCCTTGGCTTGGTGCTCCTGGCCTTGGTTTGGTGCTCCTGGCTTCAGCTTGATGTTCATGGCCTTGGTTGGGTGTTCCTGGCCTTGGTTTGGTGCTCCTGGCCTTGCCTTTTGGTGCTCCTGGCCTCGGTTTGGTGTTTCTGGCCTTGGTTGGGTTCTCCTGGCCTCATTTTGGCACTCCTGGCCTTGGCTTGGTGCTTCTGGCTTCAGCTTGCTGTTCCTGGCCTTGGTTGGGTGCTCCTGGCCTAGGTTTGATGTACCTGGCCTTGCCTTTTGGTGCTCCTGGCTTCAGTTTGGTGCTCCTGGCCTTAGTTCAGTGCTCCTGGCCTTGGCTGGGAGCTGCCACCATCTGGGTGTCAGTGCTGTACCTGAGCCCACTGCCCCTGGCCTGGTGGTGGCTGTGCAGGTGGCTCTGCAGGTGGCTGTGCAGGTGACTAACCCTAACCCTAACGCAGGGGGCTCTGCAGGTGCCTGTGGCTGTATTTGCCAGCCAAGGGCTGGGTGGCGAGGTGGCTGCAGGGTGCCAGTGCTGCCCATTGTGGGGAGGAGGGTCCCTGGTCCCTGTGTCTGTGCCTGGCTGTCACTGCTGTGCCCGGTGTCCTGCACACTCCAAGCCACACTGCCCTGTCCTTGCTCAGGATGGAGGATTCCCTTTTCCTTCTCTTGTCCCGTGTCGCTGAGTCTGGCCTGTCCTGCAGCCCCACTCCCCTGCAGACCTGTCCTGAGCTGGGAACAGCAATAAAATGGGGTGTGATGGTCTCCCCACACAGCTGAGCTGGCACCAGCTGGAATTGTCTTCAGTTTCCTTCAGTTACTGTTTTTTTCTGGTCTTTTTCCATAGATCCCAAGACAGCCACAGAGACAGACACAGAGATCTGTGCAGAGTGGGAGATCAAGACCATTACCAGTGCACTGAAAACGTACCTGAGGTAAGGAGAAGAGCCTCGCCTGGCTTCAGGAGGGGTTTGGTGCTGGCCTGGCATTTTACTGCCTGCTATTGCAGACCCTTAACAACAGCACTTTTATAGATACAGAGCAGAAACTGCTCTTAGGGAATTTATTCCGGCTTTTCCCTGGCTTTTCTCTGGCTTTCCAGTATGTTTGAGTAGGATCTGGAGAACACACTCAGCTCTGACAGATACACATATTATACAGACACGATTTAAAAAGCTCATTCTTGCATCCCCTGCCTTGATTTAAGCTTTTCCCTGAGCTTTTCCCAGTGGACTCCCACCTTCTGAGCACGTGGCAGAAGGGCAGGGCAGTGCTGTGTAAGGGCAGGGGCTGAGGAGCTTTTCCAGACCTGGTGCTGAGCTTTATTGTAGCTCTGATTTGTGTGTGTCAGGCGGGCCAGTATCGTCCTGGGGATCTTCCCAACAGTGTTGGGTGTTGGCAGGCATCAGCATCTCATTATCCACAACGTGCTCCTACCTGTTGTGACCGCAGCTCCTCACTCTCAGCGACTGCTGTGTGCAGGGTTGTGTTTGAGGGAGCACAAGAGAGAGCCTAAATCCAATTAGGGTGATAAGGGTAATTAGCCTGGTGGATCTCAGCCTAGAAAATCACAGAATTTTGCATGATTGGCAACCTTTGCTCCAGAGCCTGAACTGTTGGCTAAGCAAGGAGGAATGTGGGCAGCACCAGTGTGTCCCTCTGAAGGGATGCAGCAGTGGGAGGGGACAATGGCAATGGGGATTGGGAAAGTTTTACAGCTAGGCTTGTTTATCTTTTCAATTTCTTTTCAAAGTTCCTTGGAAGTCATGGGCTCAGCAATGCACTGAAGCTGTGTTACTGAAGGAATGCTAAAATTAAAGATTAATTTAGTGGTGAATAAATCAAAGGTCCTTGCATAGATCTTACTCCTTCTGATGGGGGAATTAATTAGAGTCGGTGTTGCTTAATTCTGCCCTTTTCAAAACGGAGCTGAGTTTATTGTAGGGGCAAAGCTTTCTCAGTGTGGATTGTGTTCCTCAGATGTGTTTTGTGCCTGTTTCCTTTTTATCTTCCAGAATGCTCCCGGGGCCCCTGATGATGTACCAGTTTCAAAGGAGCTTCATCAAAGCAGCGAGTGAGTCTGTTGGTGTTTGTGGCTCCCACAGAGGAGCCTCTCTGCCAGAGGCTGTGATCCCCCTGCCCTGCTACCTCCCCAGGGCTGGTCCTGGCCAGCAGAGCAGGGCTGGAGCAGGAGCAGGCTGGTGTTGGGGGTGACAGAGGAAGAGGAGGGAGCGCGGGCAGTGCCAGGAGCGGTGCTGGTGGCGGCTCCTGTGGCTGGGACCATTGGCTGCTGTTGAACTGCACCACGGGGTTAGGGGGGCTTTGAGGGGCTCCCTGCTGCTTCACACGTCAGGGTTGTGTCTCTGTGCTGGGAGCAGGGGATTTTCTGTTGGCAGTTGTGCAGCCTGTGGATATGGGACAGCCCCGTGACCCATGGCCATGGCAGTGCTGGCCTCCTCCAGCAGCTCCCACTTGGCACCATGCACCCTGGCAGCCTGTGGAGCAGCAGATGCTCCAGCCTGGCCTGCACTGGGCACACTGAACACGGGGATGTGCCCGCATTCCCATCCCTGGAATCGCCCTGGTTGCAGGCAGCCGTGCCCTGCTCACCATGCTGTGCACGTGGTGTCTGCTCTCAGCTCACTGCAGCATCTGCAGTGCCTGGCTGTGGGATGGAGCTGCTCCCTGGGATGTCTGTCAGGGACAGTGTTAGGCCTCTTCCCATAACAGCCCCCTAATGTGGAGATAAATCATCTTCTGTTCCCCATGCAGAGCTAGAGAATCAGGAGTCCAGGGTGTCGGAGATCCACAGCCTCGTTCATCGGCTCCCGGAGAAAAACAGGCAGATGCTGCACTTGCTCATGAACCATTTGGCAAAGTACGTTTATGACTGATGTGTTTTTCTCTCCTTTTTCCATTTCCTCTGAAAGTTAATAGTGGTGGAAAAGTTTCCTTGTGTGTGTGTGGTGTTGAGTCATTTCTGGTTGGCAACGGGAAACCCGTGTGTGAGTGAACTGAGGGCCGAGAGAGTGAGAGGGGTGGGAGGGAGGATGAGGGAGGGAGGGATGAAGGACAGGAGCTGCCCAGCCAGCCCCAGCCCCATGGCAGCACCAGGAACCCATTCTCTGCTGGGAACCTTGTGTTGCTTTGGATGGCCTGCGCTGGGTTTGGCTCCCCAGGCTGCCCAGGAGGCAGAGCGCAGCTGAAGCTCCTCACGTGGTTTCAGAGCAAACCTGCCATTGAAGGACTAAAAGTGATTTCTTTACGCAACAAATGACTGCTCTGGGACGTATTTTCTGCCTTTCTGCACCCTGATGAATCAATATTTTTGTGTTACCTTGAAACTTTGCGAGGGCGAAGGAATGGGATAATTTTTTTTTCTTTCGGTGGTAGAGCTGACCTGTAATTTCCCATCTTCTTCCAGCTCCTGCAGGTTCCCATGGAAACCTTTGATTAGTGTTTTAGAAGTGAAAGCATCATCAGGTGTTTGTGGCAGCCTCAAGGCTGCAGGGTTGGACCTGCCCTTGCTGTTTGCACCAGTGCTGCAGGAGCAGCAGGGCTGGGAGAGCTGGGGAATGACTTAATTGGGATAACTGCTCAGGAGGAGATCTGCAAGAATCCAAGTTATCTGTTTAAAAGAAAAAATAACAGATGATGCTTGAAATAGGCTTAAACACAACTCCAGATGCTTTCTTGTCACCAGATCTTGTGTCTGCTCCATAGGGTCCCTGGCAAGGCTGTTAGAAACCAAATGGCTGCTTTAGGTGTTGGTTTCAAACCTTCGGCATTTGCAGCCTGAAGCCAAGGCCCCGTGGTTCCAGGTGCACCCATCAGCCAGATGGGATTGCCCAGAGAAGCTGTGGCTGCCCCTGGGTCCCTGGAAGTGTCCCAGGCCAGGGTGGATGGGGCTTGGAGCAGCCTGGGATAGCGGGAGGTGTCCCTGCCCATGGCAAGGAGTGGAACTGGGTGAGCTTTAAGGTCCCTTCCCATCCAAAGTGGGTGATTTTGTATGTGCAGGGAATCTGTAATTGCTTCAGTGTTTTCCATTTAAAGAAAAACCTGGTGATGGAATAGAGATATGGAGTCAGGTTTACAGTGGGGTTTGTGCTGCTTTAGTGGGGAAGGAATTCAAACCAAACAAACAGTGTGTGTGGTGGTGTGTGCTATTTTAGGAAGAGAAACAGCTCATAGTGTTATTTAATAGGAAAAAAATTATCTCAGAGAAGGGCAGGAAGCTGAGGAGCGAGAGCCTGCTGAGCTCCCCAGCCCTGGTGCCATTCCTGGGGGATCCTGGGGGCAGAGGCACAGCCAGCCCAGGTGTGGGCTCACAGCATCCCTGTGGGGCTGCTCCTGCAGCTCCTGCTCTGATCAGGAGCAGTGTCCTGATCCAGGAGCTGTGCCCTGATCCAGGAGTGCCCATTGCCCTGACCCAGGAGCTGTGCCCATTGCCCTGATCCAGGAGTGCCCATTGCCCTGACCCAGGAGCTGTGCCCATTGCCCTGATCCAGGAGTGCCCATGGGGCAGCCAGGGCCAGGGTTTGTGCCCATTACTCTCTAAAAGAGCCGCCTGAGGCTGCAGTGCCACTGAGCCAGATTCCAGACAAGAATGGAGAGAAAGCTTCACATCTGCAGCAGATGTTTGCAGGGAGATGCTGCAGAGGGTGGGACCTGCTGGGTCCGGTGCTGCTGAGAGCAGGGCACCCACAGCCAGCAGGGGCTCAGCCCAGGGCCTCTGGCTGCCCCTGCCAAGCTGGGCTGCCCTGCTTGCAGGGGTTTGTCTCATCTGTTTCTGTCTGGGTTTTTTATTTTAAGTAACGTATGAATAATCAAGATTTGCATGTTTATCAGATGAGCTAAAAAAATATTTCTCACAGTCTTGCTGTGGAGATTTCTGACACTAAAACCAGAACTTGGGCTGAGTCGGTCAAGTAAAGAAAGAGCCTGTCTTGGGTGGTTTCTGACTTCTGTTTTTGGGGTGTACGTGCTCTGCTGCACTGATGGGGGATGTGGGGCTCCTCATGTGATGAAGCTGCAGTTTTTATTAACAGTAATAAAGCTGGTAAGAAAGCTGAAATGTTCAAAAATAGCAATTATTAAGCCCAGTATCAGCCAGGATGAGTGCCTTGGAGGTGGTTCAGCAGTGCCCTTCCCCTTGTGGTGGGTCCCATGGCAGCTGGGGCCACGGAATTGGGGTGCAGATAGAGGGGCACAGAGGAGTGAGAGGACAAATCTCAGGAACAGGCACAGACAGGGTAGAGGGAGAGGAGCCTTTTGATAGACAATTATTTCAATTTCTGCCTCTTGCTGCATCTCCAAGCCCATTTATGCTGCCTTCTGCCTCATGCCCACGTGTCCAAGCAGTTGTTCACTGTGGCCCAGGGAGCAGGAGCTGTCCCCATCCCTGCTCCTTCAGCTTTCCAGCCTGAGCCAGTCTGGGATTCTGTGATTAAACCAATTTGTTTTAATGCCAGATAAGTCAAAGTGAAACAAGGTGCCTGTGGTGCTGCTGGGCTGGTGGTTGCTGTGCCAGGGCTGCTGGCAGCTGGAGTGGAGCTGGTTGCAGAAAATTGCCATTTTTGTCAGTGGAGCTGCAATATCATCCCCGTCTCCTTCTTCTTTTGTAGTGTACTTTCTCACCCAGGAGCCAATGCTGTGGAGGTGCAGAGCAGGGGGTTTTCACTGTGATTGTATTTCAAGCATTTAGGGAATTATTTTTCATGCATGGCCATAATTTGACACCTGAGCTTTGCTTTGTTCTTGTGGCAGCAAGTCTGGGTTCTCCAGCACAGATGGTGCCAGGCTCATGCCCCTTCTGTGGGGCTCCCAGGCCCTTCTGTGGGTTGGCATCACTGCCCCACACAGCCCCTGATCCATTTACCCCCTGCTCTTGTGCCAAGGTCAGGCCATGGAGGAGGCTGCAGCCGAGCTGGGTGTGCGTGTGTTTAGCAGAATTAATTATCTCTAATCACTCCCAGCTGTGGCCTGGCCAACACGGGCTGGTTCCCTTTGGTTTTGCTGTGGCGGGGTTTTCTAGTTTACGTGTTTTAACCAAGATGACAGCGATTGTTATCTCCTGCACAAATTGTTTGCTGTTTATCAGGGCCTTGGTTTCCATGGGCTCCGCAGGGCAGCTGCTCATGGGGATCCAGCAAAACCCTCGTTGGGGCAGGGGCTGGACGTGGAGCCTGGCGTGTTCTGGAGGGCTCGCTGCTCAACCAGGGACTGCTGGCAAAGGAGGAGGAGAAGAAATTCCTCCAGGTCTTGTGCCTGGAAATGAAGCAGGGCTTGTTCTGCTCAGCAGGGGCAGCTCCGCGCTGTGCCAGGGCCGCGCTGCCCTGCAGGAGCTGCTGCGGTGCCCACCACGCTGCCCCTGTGCCCAACAGCTCCAGGAGCCTGCAGGGCTCCTGTGCAGGGCCAGGGTGGCTGCTTTCCCCCAGCAATGTGCTTTTCCCTGGGCTGCTTTCCCCCAAGGTGCAGCCGGCAAGGAGGCGGGCGCCTCTTGGCACAGCAGGTCTGATTTCATCCCCGTGGCAGCTGTTTATGCTGCTGGCTGGTAACTATTCATTGCCTTGATTTATGTATTGCTTCCAGTAAGTCATTCTTGTCCAGGATGTTCTGGAAATTTCCACCAGCCGCTGAGGCCTCTGAGATGCCCCTCTCTCGTGGGCTGCCAGAAGCAAACAGGGAGCTGTGTCTGAGCTGGTGTGGCTGGACCAGGCAGTAAACCTCCTTGCTGCCTTTGGGAATGCCATTTTTATGCCCAGTGCCTTTTTCTGCTCCTTTTGGGTCATGGCAGTGCTGGATCCAGGCAAAGCCATGGAGTTCAAGTGACCCAAAGGATCTGGGTGCTCCTGTGGGTGGTAAAAGGGAGGTGATGTGGAAGGAGACTCCCTGTAGGCACATGCAGCTTGCAGGACAGGGAGAATCCTGCCTGGGGCTTGCCTGTCCTGGGTCAGGTTCATGCTCTGCTCTTTTACCCCTTTTCCTTTTTCCCTGGTTGGAATGAGTTGGGCTTTGAGGTCCCTTCCAACCCAACCCATTGTGTTGTTCCACAATTCTATGGTTTGTGCTCTGGAGCTGGAGGTGCCAGAGCCTTGTGGGGAGCAGCAGCACCTTTGGTTTCCCCTTTGCTCTCCTCTCCCTCAGGTGTTTTGGTGGAGGAGCCGCTGATGCTTCCGCAGGGGCGAGACAGCCCTGCAGGACTGTGTGCCTGCCCTTGCCAGCTCTGCCTCCCTCTCACTCCTCTGCTTTTGTTTTTAATATAAGATACTGGATTCTGCAGAATTACAAACCACCACAAAAAGCCCTGTAGGTGTACGCTGGGTTTTTTGGGCTTGGCTTCCTGTAATGTGTAAATTAGCTAAAGGTTTTGTTCTGCTTCTGCAGATGAACTTTTAACCCCCTCTGTCTGGATTGTCCCTGGAGCAGCTGTGTGGGTGCTGGTAGCTTTTCCTTCCACGCTTCTCTAAAAGCTCCTTGTATTTCAGGCAGGCTCTCCAGTTTTTAGCTGGAGGGAAATGTGCCCCAGAGCCTGCAGTCCCTTGTTGGGTTCTTTTGCACCCACATCCTGCACAGGACTCGAGTCTGGAGATGGGATAATGGGGTCTTGGACTAAAGCTGGCATCACCAGCCTGGCATGATGATTCAGCAGCTTGTAACAGAGCACCTGCTGGGCTTGCTGGGGAGTTTCTGTGGTTGAACGTCTCTGCTGAGCTCCTCCTGGATCTCCAGGAGCAGCACCAGGCATTTTGCATTTCTCAAGTGTGAATTCTTGTGGGCTTGTGCTTGAGCTTGGTGTTGTTGGGTAGAGGTTGTTGATAGCACATAATTCTTTAATTGCTTATCACAGTGAAACTGAAACTGGATATGGAAAGAGAT